AGTAAGCAAGGGTGTGCCTGTACATTTCAGGAGTTGAGAATTGGCTTCTTACAGCCTTCTGATAAATCCACTGCTTTTCAGACAAGCTAAACACCAAAGAGAGTTAATTTTTCCAACGTCAGACTCCACAGCTGGGGAGCCCAGTGTAAGTTTTGTGTACTTCTGCGTTTTTGTTTCTGGTCAACATTTCTTATAAAGCATGTCTAGTGGTGATTAACTCTCTCAGCTTTTGTTTGTTTAGGAAAGCCTTTATTTGTCCTTCATATCTAAATGATAACTTTGCTGGGTAGAGTATTCATGGTTGACAGTTTCTACCTTTCAGTATTTTGAAAATGCTATTCTACTCCCTGTTGGCCTATAGTATTTCTGATAAGAAAACTGCTGATAGCCTAATGGGGTTTCCTTTGTAAGTTGCCATCCATTTTTCCATGGCTCCTTTTAAAATCTTTGTCATTGACTTCTGACAATTTTAATATAATATATCTTGGAGATCTTCTTTTTGCTTTGCGGTAACAAGCTGTTCTCTTAGGTTCATGGACTTGTGTGTCTAGTTCTTTTCCCAGGGAAGTTCTCAGCCATTATTTCTTCAAATAAACTCTGCTTCTTTTTCTCTCTCTTCTCCTTCTGGGGAACCATAACCTTAATGTTACCTTTTCTAAAATAATAGACTAGCTCTCATAGATTTCCTTGTTTAAAAAAATTTAATTTTCTTTCCTCTTCTAATTGCATCATTTCTGGACTCCCACCTTCAAGATCACTAATTCTCTCTTCCACAAGGTTTGCTTTATTTGCAGTGCTTTTGAATGCACTCTTCAGCTTGTTTATTGAGTTCTTCAGCTCCAGATTTTCTTTAGTTCTATTTTAGAGTTTCAGTTTCTTTGGTAAAGTATTCCGTCTGTTCACTCTGTTCATTAATTTTACTCCTGAGCTCATTGAACTGCCTTTTTGAATTTTTTCATGACAACTATTTTGAATTCTCTAACTTCAAGCTTGGTTTCTGAAGAATTATCTTTGTGTGCATATTGGGGGAAAGTATAGTGTTATTGTGTTTCCTCATGGTGCTTGATCATTTGTTTGCCTGCTCATGCACCTGAAGGGAACACCTTTTCTTAAAATGAGGATTCAACAGGTTAGAAATTAGAGTCTCTTCTGTTATTTCCAATAGGTAGTTTTATAGCATAAGTTTTTGATTGCTTTTACCTGCACTGTCTCTGATTTTTTTTTTCAGACATAATAGACTTTCTTTTTCATTTTTTCCATTTGAAGTTTATTGACAAATGCACAATTAATGCAGATTGTGTTGAATTAAGACATTATGTGTCAAGTGGATATAGAATTGACCTAAATACATAAGATGATCAACCTCAACAATCATTGGGGAAATACAAATCAAACCAAAGTATAATATTGCTTCACAACCACAAGCATGGCTACAGTCTAAAAGACTGAAAATAATAAATGTTGGTGAAGATTTGGAGAAATTGAAACTTCCATACATTGCTAGTTTGGTAAACATAGTAGCAGGATATGACCCAGCAATTCCAGATACATTCTCAAGAGATATGAAGACATGTGTCCCTGATCTTTAGGAGAAGTCTTCGATCTTTCATCATTGGCAGTGTAGTTTTCCTAGATGCTCTCCATCAGACTGAGGAAGACTCCTTTCATTCCTAGTTTGTTGTTATTGACAGGATGTTAGATTTTGTCAGATGCTTTTTCTGTGTTATTGAGATGATCATGTGGTTTTTTCCCTTGATTTTACTGAAACAGTGTATTACATTGATTGCTTTTCATATGCTGAACCAACCTTCATTCTTGAGGTAAGTCCCCTTGGTGGTGGTATATAATCCCTTTCATAAGTTGCTCAGTTTAGCATTTTGTTGAAGATTTTTGTTTCTGTATTCATAATAGATATTGGCTTAGTTTTCTTTATTGTAACGTCTATGTCTGATTTTGGCATCTGTCTCTGATTATATTTGAAAGTTGGCACTTTTGACCTTCCACTGCCTTGTCAGAGATGTCACCGAGTTCTCTTGGTATTGGTGTTGCGCCTCCAGGTTTGTTGGTGTCTTGCTGCTGCAAGTGCTGCTTGTGTGGTAGCTTGGAGCACTGGAACGATGGACTCGTCTGCTGTGCCCCTAATTTGCAGGCTCTGTAACTGTGGCAGGAGGGAAGTGGTGCAGGAGGATCTGGCATCATGGGTGCTCCTGCCATGTCATGTGTTGTTATATTCATGGATCTTGCTGCTTCCAGTGGCAGGTGGAGGACTGGGATTGTTGGTGCCCTTGGACTTCCTTTGTGGCTCAGCTGGAAAAGAATCCACCTGCAATGTGGGAGACCTGAGTTCAATCTCTGGGTTAGGAAGATCCCCTGGAGAAGGGGAAGGCTACCCACTCTAGTATTCTGGCCTAGAGAATTCCATGGACTGTATAGTCCATGAGGTCACAAAGAGTCAGACATGACTGAGCGACTTTCACTTGGCAACTGAAGGGATGGGGTTCCAGACTTTACTGACACTGCTCCCCAACTGCCTGTGCCAGGAGGCTGGTGTTGTATGAGCTACTTTCCCTGATTCTACCAGGTTCTACAGGGCTGCCGGCTCTCAGCTGTAGGGCTGGAAGCCAAGATTTCAGGCACTGCCTCCAGTGTTCCCCAAGTCCTGATTTCTATGTGTTCTAGTCCATCCATCTCTTGGTGTGCAGATAAGTGGAATTCTCCTGTGTTCTGGTATATTGGGCAGAGGCACTTTTTGTAGTTGTAGATTCTTTACTTCTAGATTGAAGAAGAGAAAAAAGGAGTATCTCAGTCTACTATCATGCAGAAATCTCTCCTACATTCTATTTCTTTGCTGAGGTTTTCTACTTTTTCATTTGTTTTCCATAGTTGCTTATTAAAATATTTTAATGATGACTACTTTAAAATATTTGTAGATAGTTCTAACAACTTTGTCATATTTGTGTTGGCATCTATTGACTTCCTTTTTTCATTCAGTTTTATATCTTCCTGTTTCTTGGTATAAGCAGTGAGTTTTGACTGATACCTGGACATTTTTGTATGATATTGTGAGACCATGGCTTATTTAAACCTATTTTAGATGGATTTATGTTGACACTACCTTGGCAGGAGAAGATTTGCCTTGCCACTGACAGTTGGAAATAGAAGTACAGGTTTCTTAAAACAGTGTGCTCTGTTGACACATGGTTGGAGAGTCCTCATTATTGCTTGGCAGGGTTAGGAGTTTGGGAGTTGCAGTTCTCCATGTGGTCTCCACTAACACTGCAGGGTAGGCTTGTCAACCAACCAGGAGAGATGAAAGGCTTGTCTCCCTACTTGCTCATCTCTGAAACCATCCTGGCAGGGAGAGGACTGGGGTAACTTTTATAGTCTTATAAGGATGAAGGTGTAGGCTCCTCGCTTGGTTTGTGCTAGCATGATTGAGGTGGAGCCACATCCCCCACCCCCACCCCCTCCTTTGGTGTTTGAATGAATGAAGTTGAGACGGTATTTTTTATTTTAATTTTTTGTCTTCTCTTTTGCTAGGCTGCCCCTTTCCTGCTTCCTTTGGCTGTTGTTGTTTAGTCTCTAAGTCATGTCCTACTCTCTGTGACTCCATGGACTTGCAGCACACCAGGCTTCCCTATCCTTCACTATCTCCCAGAGTTTGCTCACATTCATGTGCATTGAGTTGGACTAGCTCATGTGCATTGAGCTTTTGCTGGAGTTTCTGCTTACATGTGCCTATCATTAGTTCCAGTTTGCCAATTTCTTTGGCTACATGTCTGGATATAAGACACTGCAAGGAACTCACCCCTGTGTCATTCTGTGGGTCCTATGGTCCCTAAACAGTCTTCCTCCTTTCTTCTTCATGAATTGTCCTTATTGGGGAGAATAAGAAGTACATTTACTCTGTCTTCCCAGAAACAGAAGTCCCCTTGTTTTCTTCTTTTTGTTTACATTTTATTCACTAGTGCTTTGTCTTTACTATTTTCTTATCTTCTAAATTCATATATTTTTACTGATAAACTTCCAAATATAAAATATATTCCTTTAGGATAAAATTACTTGAGGAAGATGAAATAGAGATACAAGTTTAAGGAGAAACATGACAGATGTTAAATTTCTGAATGCTAAAGAAAAGCTTGATTCAGTTTTTTCAAATAAATGATGTTGGTTAAAATAAGTATTCTTATATTGATATTCCTTAGACACGTGTAAAAAGAGAGATGTCACAGTTTTATTTAATAATGCCATGTTTATATTTAACTGGGAATTAACATCCTTCAGAACTATTACGAACACTTCTGATTAAAGATGATAGCCAATTTAAAAATTGGCAAGAAGGTTTATCATTTTCAAAAATATTAAGGGACTGTGTCATCAAGAAAGGTTAGATCCATTGCTCTGGGATATGTGCCCGAGAATGGGGAGGCAGCTAGACCTGCGACTACCTTGATGCTGGTCTGTGCCTTCGCTGCCTGCTAACTCGCATCCGGCTTCCCTCCAAGTGGGTCCCCGCCCGAAGACAGCAGCTGACCGGCTACATGAAAACGAGATGCTGGCGTCGTTCAAGAGCGAGGCCGAGATCCTCAAGGTCAAACTTGACGAGGAGAGGGCCAAGCTGCCCGACATGGAGCTGCACCAGGTGGCCGAGCACGTGGAGGCCCCAGAGCAGTTTGTCATGAAGACCAGAAGGACCCTCAAAGGCCATGGGAATAAGCTTCTGTGCATGGACTGGTTCACGAATAAGAGGAGGATGGTGACCTCCTCGCAGGATGGGAAGATGGTAGTGTGGGATTCCTTCACTACTAACAAGGACTGCGCAGTCGCGATGACCAGCAAGTGGGTGGTGGTGTGTTCATATGCCCCGTCGGGACATGCAATTGCATTCAGTGGTTTGGATAATAAGTGTTCTGTGTATCTACTGACGTTTGCCAAAATGAAAACATGGCTGCCGAAAAGAAGTCTGCTGCTATGCACACCGACTATCTGTCCGCTTGCAGCTTCACCACCTCGGATGTGCAGATCCTGAAGGCCAGCGGCGACAGCACAAGTGCCCTGCGGAACGTGGGGAGCAGGCGGCTGCTGCAGAGCTTTCCATGGGCATGGGAGCACGTGCTCTGTTTGGACCTGGCCCCCTCAGAGACTTGGACCACCTTGTTATTCGGGGGATGTGACAAGAACGCCATTGGGTGGGACCTGCGCCCTGGACAGTGCTTGCAGGCCTGTCAAACACAAGAATCTGATATCACCAGTGTCTGATACTAATCTGGGTGGAGATGCCTTTGCTTCGGGATCAGATGTTGCTGTGTGTTGCCTCTACCACCTCTGGACAGCTTCCAGCGTGGACTTCTCCCTCAGTGTATCCTGCTGGATACAACGATTATACCATCAACGTCGGGGATGTCCTCAAGCCCCAGTTACCTCTTCTTTGAACATGAAAACCATGTTAGTACTCTATGTGTTTCCTTTAATGGGGCTGCCTTTTGCTCAGGATGATGAGATCATACCCTCAGAGTCTGGGCTTGATCACAGTGCGCATAGGTACCTGGGGGTAGAATTTGAAATCATCACATGTAAATAGATCTTGCTTCTAGAGGATCTGAGAGTTTATTGCAATTTAGCTTAGGGGAACAGCTCCATGACTGAAAGTTCACCAAGCATCTCCAACATTACTATTAAAACCATTACCCTGGAAAGATCCCAATGTAAGCCTTCAGCACTAGGAGAACACTCTCTAGTATAGTGTTTATTATTTCAAACTTTAAAAAAAAAATGTGTCTATTTTTAAAGTTATTCTACATTATATGAGTCTCAACTCATTTTTGGTGCTGTAGGACACCTGCATTTTGAATCTGCAGGACACACAGGTTCAGTTCCTAGGTTGGGAAGATCCCTTGGAAAAGGAAATGGCAATCCACTCCAGTATTCTTGCTTGGGAAATCCCATGGAAAGGGGAGCATGACAGGCTACAGTCCGTGGAGTTGCAAAACGAATTGGACTCGACTTTAGAAAATTTGAAATTGCCTTCCAAAATGGTTGTATCTTTTTACAGTCTCATCAGTAGTGCATGCTAGTTCTCAGGGTCTTACAGTCTTGCCAGCACTGATGCTATACATTAAAGAAAAAAAAATTTGTTTTATTATAATTAGAATAAAATGGTATCTCACTCTGAACTTTGGTTATAATTTGGATTTCCCTGATGATTGATGAGGGCTTCCTACGGGGTGCTAGTAGTAAAGAATATGCCTGGTAATTCAGGAGATGCAGGAGATTTTGGTTGGATCCCTAAGTTGGGAAGATACCTTGGAGAAGGAAATGGAAACCCACTCCAGTATTCTTGCCTGGAGAGTTCAATGGACAGAGGAGCCTGGTGGGCCAGAGTCCATGGGGTCACAAAGAATCAGACACAGCTAAGCAACAGAGAATACCTTTAAAGTCTTTATTTCCATTTTTATCTTCTTTTCATTTAAGTGGCTAGAGTTGCCGATACTTAAATTCCCCCCCAAGTTTTCTACTGGTTTAATTTCAATTTTCACATTGACTTTGTTAGGTAGTTAGAATAGAAAACAGGAGTCCAAAATAGGTGGTGGCTAAAAGACAAGGAAGGGAAAAGCCCGCATAAATAGAACAGAAGAAGGTCAAAGGAAGGTCCAAGGACCGGAGTGAGGACTTCAGGTAGAACAGCACTCCTGGCCAAGTTCAATTTGCATAGGGCAGGCCCGGGGGAAGAAAAAAACATATAAATAGAGGAGCCAAAGGGCCCGCTCTCTCTCTCCCTCACGCTGGGGCGTTTTTCTCTTTGTGTCTTTGGGTCGACATGCCCTCACGCCTCAAAGATGAATTTTCCTGCTATTATCTAAATAAAATAGAGCTGTAACACTGAACTGTAACTCTGATTTGTCTAAGAGCTATAACACGGTCTGTTCGAGACCTGAGAGCTATAACACGGTCTGTCCAAGGCCTGAGAGCTGTGACACTCTGAGGTGGGCTTTAATATCCGTCACTCCAAATCTTTGTTGTGACGAGACAGAACCGAGGAGCATATACTCGCCTGACATCTAGAAGGCATTCTCTCTGTCTTCACTAACCTTTTTTCAATTATTATGGTGCATTTAATTTCTGACAGCTTGTGGGTTATGTAGTCACTCTTGTTATAATATTTTGGATAAGCATAATTTTAATTTCAGTGAAGACATATATTAGTCTTTTCCTTTGCAATTTGTTTTTTGTCTGAAAAAAGAAAATTTTCTTTTTGTTTGAAAAATTTCTTCTTAACCACCAGGTAACAGAGATATTTCACTTTTTGTTCTGAAATATTTTGTAACTTTGACATTCATGTTTAAATCTCTAATTCATCTGGCATTGATCTTTGTATGAAAGATTATGTAAGATTCTGATTTCGTTTTTCCTCTATAAAATTGTTTGCATACAATTTACTGAATAATTCCCCTCTCATTCACATACTATCAATGTCACTTCTATTAAACATTTAGCTTTTATGTATCTGTTGGACTGCTTTTGGGCTTGGTCCATTGGTCTGTCAGAGAGTACCATAGAGTTTATCTACTGATTTTTTTTTTTGCTGTTAGAAAGAAAAGTCAGGGCAAGAGTTTATGGAAAACTTGAACACACAGGAAATTTTAATGTCTTTACCTGTTTTCTTTGGGATTACAAGAAGTATTAGAAAGTTGTATATGTGCTATGTATGTGTGTGTGCAATTTAAAAATAATTATTTATTTTTAATTGATTGATGATTGGTTTACAATATTGGTTTGACTTCTGTCATACATCAACACGAATTAACCATAGGTATACATATGTCCCCTTTCCTCAAACACACTTATATGATAGTGACCTTCCTGTTTAAAGTTGTTTTGCTTATTTCTAGTGCTGGCTATTATTATAAATTAATTATTACTTTTTAATGACTGGAATTCTTTTCAGTTAGCTACTATAGAACAGATGGTATAGAACAGGAACCAGACTTAGTCTGGGCTAGCAGGAAATCACCCTGGTTCTCAGTGGAACTCTATAGAATAAAAAATTGTGTGTGTGTGTGTGTGTTTGTGTATGTGTGTATGTACCCTTGACCACGATTGGGATGGTAGGTATAGTGATTTACTCAGGGCTTCTTCTCTGTCTTGCTGCAGTAGTTACAAAGAATGTGTCTATTTCTCCAGTTCTATTTCCCCTGCAAATTCATTTTCCAACAAGGTAGCAGAAAGCTCTTGTAACTGGTTCCATCCCTTCTGTTGTAGGTGGTCCAAACTAGGGTTGTTGGTTTTAATTTCCTCTCTACCTGAGCTTTTCAGTGGTGAATAGCTTGTCTCCTTTTTCCTTTTTTCCATTACCTTGGTCCAAGGTGCATTCCACTCAGTAGCCCTTTTTCCTTTATTTTGAATTTTAGTGTCAAAGGGTTTTGTTATAAAATGAAATTTCCACTTTACTTCCTTTCTGTCCTTGCTTTTGGTTGATTTCAGAAAGAAGATGGCAGCTCAGAGGTTTTTACATATCCAGCCTGAAATGTTAGCTTGATGTTTGAAGTCACTGACATTATTTATGTATCAGGCTTTATCTTTGATCGATATCAAACTCTAGAGATTATTTGCCTAGGGAAAAAAAAAACTTAATATTACCTACACTGTGGAAAAGTTGTAATAGATCATAATGCAATCAGAAGTTTAAGATAAAGTATTTTTGCAAATTTCTATTGTATCTTACAAAGTGCCTTTGCACAAAGGTTTACTGTCATAATATATTTTTGAAACTCATGAATAAGTCCTAACACATTTATTGAAATATGCATCAGAGGAAAATCTAATATCATTTTTTCTCATTTTCTATTTTTGGCAGCACGATATAGGCAGGAAGTATTTATTTAAGCATATACCACATATCTAGTACTGAGTATAAAGTAAGTCAGTAACTGACTTTTTAACACTACAGAAGAAAATTACTAACTGGCTAAAATATATTGAGAATCTCAAAAGAGCTACTAGAAATTATCTTTTAATATTTTGAAACATTTTACTTGAAAATAACCAGGAATATGTATCAAACAGTGGATGCAGGTTTATAAATTCCTTATTTAATATCTACTTATTTTAAGGTGATAAAATTCCACAGAAGAGGAAAATTTGAGGTGAATTCTATCTCACCAAGGTTTCTTTATTTTGGGGGCCCTTAGATTTTAAAATACTCCTTAATCTCTTGATCAAATCTTTATGATTGGCTTGTTTCCTTATTGTCCTGTATCTTGGTTCAGTTATCTCTAGTTCTCTCTTTAGTTCTTCAATGTTTTTTCTGTTTTTTCAAATTTTGCCCAACATTTTACTTCTTTGGGGGTTGCGTGGTTAATCTGAAATGTCTTGCTTACTGATACTGGATATGATAGCCTTGTTATATTTTATAAAACTTAGAATTTTAATGGCTGACCTAATGACACTAATGCCCTAATAGTTGTCCTAATGATACTAGGAGGTCGAGATTCCAATCATATGCTATAAAAAGCTACATGGAGCCTTTATTCTTTTGCAGTGGCTAAAAAGCATTCATAAGTATTTTTAAAGGTACATATATGAAGAAATCGTAGATTCAAGCTTTGTTTTATTTAGGAATAAAGTTTTATATTTTATGAATATTCTATGGTTGGGTAATATTTTTTTCTTTTTTTAGCTATAATTAATAAATGATTACTTTTTGCTCTAAGAGCTATTATTAAATCACTGGTCTTCATTGCTATTGGTGGTGTCATAACAGAAAAGATACTGTATTTTTATGTAATATATCTGGCTATAACATTTGCCCTTTATGAATATTCAACTGAATCTTCTAGCTAAGTTGTTAATTATTGTCCTCACAGACCTATTGAATTCGGTGGTACCTGTGTAATGAGATCTTAAAATTAAAGTATTCTAGTGATGAGATCTCCTGAAAAATTCCTGAACTAATCTTATTTCCAGCCAGTAATAATTTCCTCCAAAAGAAGTCATTTACTTTAGAACACTATAAAACAAAATTTTTAAAAGTTATAAAGGTTTAGCATAAAGGATACTATTTATCTTTGATTTAACAAATATTTAATTGTTATGAAAATGTTAGGTACTGGAAATTTTCAGTAAAACAAATCCTGCCTCAACTTATATATATAATATATATATATATATTTGTGTGTATTTATTTGGCTCAGAATCTATTATAATTTCACTAGTCTCTAGTAAAAATTTATCAATTTTTGTCAAGTCTAATTAACTCAAGA